CTGGGTAAATTCCTAGCAGTGCTATTGCTGGGTCATTGGGTAGATCTATTTTTAATTTTTTGAGGAACCTCCACATTGTTTTCCAGAGTGGCTGTACCAGTTTGCATTCCCACCAACAGTGCAAGAGGGTTCCTGTTTCTCCACATCCTCATCACCATCTAGTCTCCTGATTTGTTCATTGTAGCCACTCTGACTGGCGTGAGGTGGTACCTGAGTGAAGGATTAAACTCTCAAGTTCTTCCAAAAATTTGAAGAGGAAGGGATCATTTTCAAATTCATTTTAGAAGACTAGAATTAGGACACCAAAACACCTTACAAGAAAACAAAATTACAGGCCAACATCTCTAATGAACATAGATGTAAAAAAGCTCAACAAAATCCTAGCAAACCAAATTCAACAGTATATGAAAAGAATCATAAAGTGTGACCAAGTGATATTTATCCCTGGGATACAAGAGTGGTTCCTCATAAGTAAATTGGTAAATGTGTTCTATCTTATAAAAGAGTGAAGACCAAAACTCATATGATCACATGAACAAATATTAAAAAAAAAAAAAAAAAAAAAAAAGCATTTCACAAAATGCAGAATCCTTTTATGATAAAACTCCCCAAAATTAGGTGAAGAAGACATACACCACAATACACAAAGGCCACATATAAGCCCACAGCTAAAAGCACATTCTACAGTGAAAAGGTAAAAACTTTTACTCTATGATCAGGAATGAGACAAGGATGTCCACTCTCATAACTGCTATTCAGAATTGTACTGGAAGTCCTACCTGGAACAATCAGAGATGAAAAAGAAAGGCATCCAAATCAGAAAAGAAGTAAAACTGTTTGTAGATGACATAGATCTTGTATAAAGCAAACTACAAAAAGTCCACCAAAAAACTGTCAAAATGAATAAACTCAGTAAATGTACAGGATAAGAAATCTACATACAAAAATCACATATGCCCATTACTAACAATGAAATATCTCGAAAGAAATTAAGAAATCAATTCCATTTACAATAGCATTTAAGAAATAAAATACTTAGGAATACATTTAGTGAAGCAGATGAAAGATATATACAATGAAAACTGTAAGACATTAATGAAAGAAATTGAAGACACAAATAAATGGAAAGATATCCCATGTTTGTAGACTGAAAGAATCACTATTAAAATATTTCTACTACATAAAGCAACTTAAATTCACTACACTCTACCAAAATTCCAGTGGGATTTTTTACCAGAAACAGAACCAGAATCCTAAAATTCGAACCACAAATGACGTCAAATAGAGAAATCTTGATTACAAAGATCAAAGTTAGAGGAATCACATTTGTAATTTCAAACTATACCAGAAAACAATAGTAATCAAAATATTATGGTACTGGAATTAAACAAAACAAAACAAAACATGCAGGGGCCCCTGGGTGGCTCATGGTTAAG